CTGAAGTTGTAGTAACAGCAGCAGAGTAGTAGTAGCTGTAGTAGTAGTAGTAGTAGTAGTAGTAGTAGTAGTAGTAGTAGTAGTAGTAGTAGTAGTAGTAGTAGTGGTGGTGGTGGTGGTGGTGGTAATAATAGTAATTCAAGTTTTTTAAAAGCCAAAAAATATAAAGCATCATATCTAAATTTATGAAAAAAAAACTTATACACAAACAAACAAACACACACACATACATACATATATACACGCACCAGGCAGACAAACAAGAATACATACATACAAACATACATACATACAAACAAACATACATGCATACATACAAACATAAAAACACACACACACATGCAAACATACATACACACACCCATCAGAATAATTGCTCTATAAACAGGGGACCAAAACAGCTAATAGACACTTTTTGTCTCCATTGTTCAAAATACTACAATTACCATCACCACCACCACTACTACTACTATTACTACTACAACTTCCTCTACTACTACTACTTCTACTACTACTGCTGCTGCTACTGCTGCTGCTGCAAACATGACTACAAATTTTACAATTCAAATTGTATTAATATTTAATATTTCATTATTATTATTAAATTTTTAATATTGTCATTATTATTAATATTATTATTATTATTCTTATTATTATTATTATTGTGACGTCAAAACGAACCACGTGACGCAAATGCAAATCACGTGATATCTAAATTTGAATTGCCATCATGGCGATACTCGGCGTGGCCAATGATGATGATAATGATGATGGTGATGATGATGATGATGGGAAAGCTGGTGATGATGATGACGATGATGCTGGTGGTGTTGATGATAAGAATGATTATGATGATGATGTTCTTAGAAATAATAAAAGATGTTAGCCTGGATGAATAGTTTATTTTATTTTAATTTTCGTAACCACCATTCAAATTTATATCATCATCATCATCATCGTCATCACCACCAGCTTCCTCATCATCATCATTGTCATCAACAACAACAACATCAACAACAACAACAAAATCAACAACATCATCAACAACAACAACATCAACAACAACAACAACATCATCAACAACAACATCAACAGCAAC